AACGTCTATATGTATTCTAGCTATTATATATATTATATAAATAAAATTAAATTTTTCTTACTTCCAAGAAAATCATTTTCAATAACGTATAAGTTTTGTAAAGCCACCCCACAGAATAATCAACAAACTTATGAATGAAAAAGAAGCTTTGAAAAGAAGTTCCATAATCGACTTTGACAAATTATGAACTAATTTATTGTTATTATAAATTTAAATAATAATACAAGTATTAATGATCAAGTAATTAGATATACATATAATAATTAAATTTACATACATCCATACAATTTCAAGTGCTGAACACATATTAAATATTGGTACTACATAAACAATAAACCATCATTCTTTATGTCCAAGAATAAAATCACAAAATTATCATTGGTAAGAAAAATTCAGGAGTATGTTGATCCATAAATATCAAAAGTATACTTAACGGTAAAGATAATAGTAGAAGACATGGGAGAAATAAATGTGAAAAGGCGAAACCTTTTGATAAGTTTTTGGTAGAAAAAAAATTATATCAAATATATATAGTTTTTATAAAAAACTATATTACTCCCCGGTCCACACTTTTTCCCAATATTACATTGAAATGAAATACAAAAAATTCTGGCCACATAAATGTTTGCCAAAAGTATGTCCATAAAGTCACACTTTTGGGACACAAAAACCTGTGGCTGTGTAGAGGCGTGATCTTATGGAGGCTGATGGTTTTTAATCCTGTAATTGCTGATCTCATATGACATTTATTATCTGTCATTTATAAAGACAATTACAAAAATAATTAGCATCACTTTTTTGTTGTTCAAAATAACTAAGAAAGGTATTCAAAGATATTTGTGCTTCCTTATCATTGATTTGAAGTGACTCTTCATCATGTTTCTCTGGTTTCATCATTATTAGTGGTGACCATTTGAATTATTTGTTCTTCTGTAAGTAATTCACTTGTATATGGATTTTGAGTATGATTTAAATAGTCATGCCATCAATAATCTCATTAACCAAAGAATCAACAATTTCAAATTCTTGATTTTTGTTCAATTCAAAAGTTTCTAAAACAACACCATTTGTAGGAACTGGTAAAATTTGTGGTTTAAGCCAACAATTATAAATAATAGTAGTTTTTACTTTCATCCCATGCCTCAGCTATAAATTCAATTGCTGTTTTAAGGTTGAGATTTTCTCTAATAAATATTCAATACTTAATGAAAATATCAATTTGTATCATTAAAGATTTTTATACTTGTAAATATCTTTTCCATTATCACAATACAGATTTTTATATTTGACCTTTATTCAATTTGCAAAATCCTTTCCATTTAATTTAATTAATATATCTGTCAAGACTAATCTTGAATTAATTGTCTGAAACATCCAAATAGATAAAGTTGTTTGAAGTTCATGTGTTTTTGAAAATTTATTTCCAATTATTTGAGAATTGACATTATCATCTATTTATGATATAAACATATTTCTTTTCTTATTTTATTGTTGATTATAGCTTTCTTTTCCTTTGGCATTCTTTTAAAAAATGTGACTTTTGGTAAATATGCAGAAATAGAAATAATTCATTGGAACAAAATTTTTTTGCTGATTATTAATCACGTGGTGTGACCTTGCAGAGATCAAATTAATATACTTGGAATCAAAAAAAGTACGACAGTGACTATAAGTGAAATGTGCCCTTACAGGGAGGGCGTGACCTTATGTAGATCTGACTGTATATACGTTAGTTAATATACTTATGAATATACGAGTTATATGTAGTAATAACTAAATATTGGTTATCTACCTATCTAAATAAACGGGAATGGAAGTAGTTGACTGATCAAGTAATTCGTATAAACCCAAGTTTCTAATTGATAATTCCAATATGTACTAAGATCAAGAAAATAGCATCGAAACCTCAAAATGAAATATTACTGCTGTAAAATTAAATAATGGATCATTGAAGAAGACATATGTTTTTTCATTTCAAATAACTAGCTACAGCAAAAGCCACGAAGGGGCGATTTAAAATTTATCACGTGTAAAAATTTTAGCCAATAAAATTCAAGAAAATCATTGTGATACGAGCGGACTAAGAGTTTTAGCCAATAAAATTTAAGAAAAATTATTGTGATACAAGTTTAAATAAAAAATCTAAATTATTCATTCCCCGACTTCTAAATAAATCGTTTATTGCAATTATTTTTTTAAAAAATGATCGCAGATCCCATTTTTGGTAAGTCAATAATAGTTTGATGTCTTTCCTGTCATCCATCCACTGTATAATAAATAGGCCAACTTATTGCACTCAATATTAAAGAGCCAATAAAGATTCTAGGAACAGCTCCAGGAAATTCAAAATGATCACACTTATATATATATATATATATATATTAATATAAAATAAAAAATATCAACCCCATATTCCAAATATCATGTGTTGCTTGAATATTAAAACTTTCGTAAAAGGACATAAAAATATTACCAACTTGTCCATATTAATATGAACGACGCTTGACCCCTGAAAGTCTGTGACTAATATATTAATAAACAGACAGACCCATCCATATTAATTATAAAGTTTTACAAAATATATACTTTAAACAATCATATTAATAAAACAATAATAGGTTTTTTGATGATTATTCATGGATATATATACATAATGCGAATCTTTCTATTAATACTAAAATTAATGAAAATTTTAAAGTTATAACGATGATGATGATGATAATAACGGACTCACTTTTTTAATAAATATGAATTTTACATACAATTTGTCAGTATAACCGACCTTACTATACTATTACTATGTATATAATACTGAAATTGGTGTATATTTCTATCGTGGATCACGAATTAATATCAAAAGAAAAAAAATTGCTTTTTTTAATTTTACTTTTAGCTGGTGAGGGATCTTATCGAGTCATTCAAAATTAACTGTGATTACAATAATTACATCCTTTCTTCTTCGCTGCAATTTGTTTTCTTTAATTAAGTTACATCATACTCTAGATTTTTATGGTGGAAAGAACTAGATCCGATTCTTGATTTCACATGATATGCCTTATCAACACGGATAATTAACAATAAATAATGTTTAAATCAGAAGTTCGGTAAGCTTGTCATACATATATATACATTCTATGCATGAATTAATTATTATGAATGATCGACATATCAACATTTAGAACGCAATAACATTTCATTTTAAATTCTGACACGTAAAAAGTAGTAATATAAAAAACACATGTATAAATAAAAAAGCTTAAACTTTGGATTTTTCCCCCATTCATATTCTTAAAAAATAATAAAAAACAAATAAAAAAAACTTTTTTCCTAAAGGTGACTGGGCTAACGAAAAGATAATAATAATTTAGACATGTCAATTCCAAAATCCTCCTCACCAGCCAACTTTAACATAAATAATGATAACACTCGAGAAGAAACTACTCCAAGAAACACTTTAAATAATATTTATAACTACAACTACTCTCCGCCACCTTCTGATGAACTAAGACAACAACAACAAGCATTGCAAATCAACAACACGCCAGAATATATTATTAGTAGCCCACAACTATTCCTGTCGATTAAACATATAAGTCCACCTGGTACAAATTCACCATCTTACTCACCCGTCTCAAATTCATCCTACCCTCCTTACTACTTCCATCACTCAACTACAACATCCACATCACCATTTCCCATTCGTTGTCAATGTCTTCTTTGTGTAGAAGCTAGTACCAGTGGTGGTGATGATAGTAATCGTAGTAGTAATTATTGTCAAACTGGTGAATTTTCTGATTATTCAGATTATGGTAATAATAATAATAATTATAGTCATAGAAGATATAATGAATCAATGGATGATAATTATAATTATAATAGTGACAATGATTATAATAATAATGAGAATAATTATCAAGAAGAGGAGAAGGAGAAAATTTCAAGTTCACTATATAAATCACAAGAAAGTACACTACTAGTTTATCATCACCATGATATTAATGACAGATCATCATCATTGGGAGCTTTCTCACCTATAAATATGGGAGGAATTAGTCCAGTTAATATATATGAGTCACCAATGGCTGCTAATGGAAATTCATCATCATCCTCTTCCCCTCCTTCATATAAACAACAGCAACAACAACACTTATCATCAACAGTATCATCACATCCTTTAGTAAGAGAAGTAAAATATAATAATCGATTTTTCAATTCTTTTTATAATAGAAATGGCAAAGAAGAAGAAGAAGAAGGTGAAATTAATCATAGTGTTAATATCAATAGGAGTAGTGTTGTTAATAAAATTTATAATGATAATAAATGTGAAGATGAGGGTGAATGTGATATAATGTTAAAATCACCATCAAAACGATTAAGATTTTCTAATTAGGATTTAGAATATATTGTATCAAAATAATAAAATTTTTTAAATCATGAATTAGGCAAGTATAGGATGGGAATAATAATATATATTTATATGATTTCTTAAAAGTGGATAACAATAAGTAAGGAAAGGGAAAAATAGAAAAATCTTGTTTAGCATAATGATAATATGTTTTTTTTTTTTTACAAAATAAATAAGTATATATCTATTCTAGCTGTTGTCCTTGTCCATGTGATGCTATTATTTTTCTTTCAACATTACAACTTTTGGTTTTCATAATAATAATGTATCTTCCAACATTTCATACAAAATCATCATCATCATATTATTATTATTATAATAATAACTGTAATAACCATTTTTTGTTAAATCTTTGAGTAATTTTATATTCTATAATTTTTGGTAAATGTAAGCTGATATAACATTCAAATTTGATATGTTAGTAGTAAATTATCATTATAATAATCATCAGGATTCCTTATCTACATTATTCCTATTTATAGGAAAGATTGTAATGTTCTTGAAAATAAAAATATTTATTTATTTAAAATAAATATATTTTACATCATTAATTTATTCTATAAATCATTATTTATTATTCTCCCAAGAACCAATATTATAATCTTCTTGTTTTTTTGGGGCGACAACCATTGAATGGAGTTGGAGTTGAATCAGTTACTCTTTTAATACTCCATTCATTTTCAGCTGAGGCAATAGCTTTGAATGCAGCTTCTCTACCGGCACCAAAGCCTTTAAGAAATATTTCTGCATTTCTAACTTTAATTTTTTTTTCTTTGATTGCATTGATGACAGCTGAAGCAGTTTGATGAGCTGCTTCATAGCCACCACGTTGAGCTTTTTTAAAGCCTACAATTCCACTTGATTTTGTAATTAATGAATCACCACGAGAATTTGCTAATGTGATGATGGTGTTGTTATAACCTGAATGTATATGAAAATTATAAGTAACTTGATCAGCAGTAGAAAAAATGTCTGATATAATTCTTACTACTCCAGTTTGAGTTTCTTTATTTAAACTTTGTAATTTTTTATCTTTATCTGTTATTAATTTGTCTATCAATGAGAATCCATTCTTATCATCTTCATAATGTTGCTCAATTAGATTTGAAGGAGATGAAGAAACATCATCATCTAATTTCTTCTTAGTTGATCTACCTTTAGAAGTCATCATTTTATTATCATTTTTTTTTAATAATTCTTTAGAAGGTGCTTCGTCAAAAAAATTTATCATTTCATCAAATATCGGTACTGGATCTGGTTTAATATAATTTTTTGCATCTTCATTTAAACGCTTTAAAACATCAAAATTGTAATCATTATCATCGTTCTTGTTATCACTGTTGTTATTATCATTGTTGTTATTGTTATTAGATTGTGAAGAAATTGAAAAAGTTTGCTTAAAAATAAATTGTGAATAATTTATTGACGATTTAAGTTCTTGAGAAATGATATTTCTTAAAAACATTTTTCAATATAAGTCACACACACACATATAAAGATAATCAATTCGCACATCTTTTTTATCTAAAAATGTTTCCGCCTTTGTCAAAATATCAAATATCTAAATTAACTTATACACCAACCTTTCAACATGTTAGAAAACCGTTTATACGGTACAGGACATCTTAATTCAAAATTCCGACCAGGGTAAAAAATATTAATACACTTCTATTATAAAAAAATTTTAGTTTTGCACAATTTTTATGTCAAAAAAATTTTGAACCGTCCATTGTTGTTTATAGATGTCCTGCCTGCACCAAATTAAATTTAAATAAAATGTTTAAGCTTCAAAATTTACATGCTTAAGAGTGGTATTTTAAGCAAAGATTTTGAATAGGAATTTATGATCAGATGACATTGTCAACTATAATTTTGAATTTAAACTTTTTTATTATACTAAAGATTTAACCAACAAAAAATAAATCACCAAGAAAGTTCACATTCTTTTCATATTCTTTAGCAACTTTACCTACAGCTCCAAAATCTAGACTGTATTCTTTCACAGCAAATCCTTGATCCGTTGGTTAATATATTATATGGATAATTTCCACAATCGTCCAATAAACTTCATAAATGATTTGGTCCAAATCTAATTCAGATTTATACCATGGTTTTGTAAGTCAAAAAATATTTACTCAGTGCAATAATTGCATTTGGCTTTTCCATCTACAACTGTGAAATGGTTCCACACATTACACTGTGCCTGTTGAAGAAGTAATTGAAGAGGCATCATTTTTAATAATGCAATTATTGTCATTCATCATTGTTAAATTATATCTTTTTGTTATTAATATTAATATGTAGAGCTTCTATTTGTAATATAAATTTTTATTCAAATAAACATTCAATATATTTTAATTTCAAATACTCAAATTCATAAATAAAGCAAATCATTCAAATAAACCTTAATCAAATAGATACCCTATTAATATGACATAAAAGAAACTTAACCATCAGTGTGCTACCTCACTAAAAAAAAAATGCTATTGGGTGGTGTAGTTTCTTTTATCTTAATAGTGAAGTTCAAGTTTATTATTAAAAGGTCGAGATAAAATCCGATTTGTTACACGAAGTTAATAATAAAAATAAAAAATAGAATATGATAAAAATAAAAAATAATTAAAATAGAAAAAAAAAATTAAATTGTCCCAGAATTAAGAGGTTCGGCCAAAATATCTGCATTAAAGTCTAATTCCGGTAACATTAGCAATTAATAAGCAGTATTTTTATTGGACAAGATATTGTAAAAGTCATGTTATTTGTAATACCCCAAGAGGTATAAAAATGCTTGGTTTAGACCAAGTTCGAATCATCATGTCCATGATACAATAATAATAACCTAATTATCGCTAAAAATAAACATAACATTTTTACATTAAATAACTTGACCATTAATAATAAATAAAATATTTGAATATAAACCTTTGCTAAAAGCAACCCTTATCTTTAATTAAATACTATCCTACCTTGGTTAGAATATCTTAGGCTGTGCTGGTAGTGCTTAGCAGAGATGGAGAACTTATACTTTTGGACTTTATATTTATATCTATTTTTTATCATATATTTTATCACAATATGCACACTAAAATAATGATTTTTGACAAAAAAATAAATGTAATTTTTAATAATCATTGTTATCATACATATTCATTATGGTTTTTTTCATAGCATTAACAAGTTGAAGTGATGTACTTATCAATATATCATATAATATATTTTGAGATAGTAAATCGTGGACCAACAATTGCCCTGGTTAATGTTGATAATCATTAGTATTAACAAATTCTTATTCAAATTATTCAATCTTAATTCGAATTATTTGTTTTATTCATTTTATTTTGAATTATTCATTTTATTTGTTTTATTTCATTTATTCATTTTATTCATTTTTTATTCATTTTTTATTCATTTATTCGAATTATTTGTTTTTTTTTCATTTATTCGAATTATTATTATATATTCGTTTTATATTTGTTTTATACTTATTGAATAAACTTTCATAACGAATATGATAAATGATTTTTATCAGGCAGGTCCTATGTAATCACTGGCAGAAATAAACAAACTTATTTTTGCAACTTTATATTATAATCATGTGATACAATCAGTTTATTGTTTAATAATACTGTAATAGTAATAAGAATACGTTTGAATTAAAGAAAAAAAAATTTTTATTTCTGCCAGTAATACGTCGGATCTACCTGATAACAAGAATCTATAATCCCGTGACGCCAAAGAGTATCATTGCTATTTTGGGATTTGAGGATTTGGCATTGTGACGCAGCATTTGGTACGCACTATATTAATATTAATATTAATATTAATATCGTAATAGTTAATTATTTTTTATCAGATCGATATTTATTTTATAAAAAAAGTTTTATCTTTGCAAAGACAAAAACATAGTAACTTTTCTATTATAAAAGGTTACCGATTAGAGTTTTTTCTCACGTCGACCACTAATTCACTGACGGATCGTCAATTAATAGTTTTTAGGATCCTCGAAAAATAATATTAAAAAAACTATATAATAAATATTTTGACGAAAACAATAACAATGCTCCTATTGTAACTATTGCAAAGTGTTTGTCAAAACAAAATGATTATATATAAATTTATTCTTTTTACGTATGGACCTGTTGACACTATGGAAGTTTTTAAACTTTTAAAAGGCTGGTTTTAATAATTATTTTTGTATGAATTTTATATATTTATATAAAAAATTAGAAACATATCATGGAAATTTGGTAATGGAAACTATTTTTTATTTCATCACAAAGATATACACATTAATACGCGGATGATGACCAGAAATTGAATCTGGCAATAATCCAACAAAACATGACAAGTATGTCAATGTTTTTTATATTTTATTCCCGAGGTATTAAAGGATCTAATTTATATTTGTGGGTTTAAATTAATTATTATGATGCCAATGGCTTTAAGTACAATTTCCTGGTTTGACAATCAATATGAAATTAATGTGAAAACCAATAATCAATGGATACAACTAACAAAATAATAGTAGGGTTTTATCTTTTACAAAAGCAGAATTGTTAGTAGAAAGTGGATATTGTTATTTCTCTCATTGTGGATTATTTGATAAATGATGATTGTGTGTTTGATGATTTGAATAATTTGTTGATTTTTAAACCGACTTATCTCAGGCTTTGTTAACTTTACTTCAGATGAACAAAAATGATGATTAGATTTTGTGCTTGTGTTTGAAAAAAAATTTTTTTTAATAATTTTAATTATATTAATATTAATACCACTTAGAACAGAGCTTATAATGTGTCTATCTATTCCAATATAAAACATTTAAGAACCGTCACATGACCAAATCCTTTTAATGATATAATTAATATGTACATGCTCAAGTATAATAAATAACTAAACAATAATATTATTTGATTTAAAAAAATTATAAAGAATAAATAATAAATAATGGAATGGATTCACACAAAAAATTTCTTATTAATTAAATAAATTAACAGATTAACATTGACTTTAGCTATACCATCAAACAAGCTCATTACTTGACTATTGTTAAATTGACTTTGTAATAGATCTTCTAATCTTAGTTCCATGTTTGCACCTGGTAGATTAATCCCGCTAAGTGATACTTCAATTTTAAATATTCCCAATTCATCAGATGAAATTGTAAGACTTAATTTGTCAAAATTTGGATAGCCAGAAATCGATAACAGCACACCTTTCTCGTATAATTTTTGAGCTGTGTATTTGTAAGACCCAAATTTTGGCACTCTTCCTGACCTTTGTAACTCTCGTATATGAAAGTATTGACGAGTAAATGGCAAAACCAACCGGGTTTTTTTGCTACAAGGTTATACAAATAATTCCATAAATAACAATTCCAAGTAATAAAATATAGAATTATATAAATTAAAAATACTTACCCTTTCTTTGTAGATAATTGTTGCATACAAACGTCAATGTGGTCATTATAGGTTTTTATTTGCTCATCAAGGTGAGATCTCTTCTCTTCTAAGTTAATTAATGTTTGTTTCAATTGCCTTAACTCTTTTTGCCTTTGTATCCTTCTTCTATGCTTATTCCTGATATCTGTAGCGATGGCATTTAATATATCTTGGTAATCATTTTTTCTTGTAATTATACCTCCAGTCTCTAATTTCAATATATTATGTAATGTCAGTTTTTTTAGGTCTAAAAATTTCATTTTGCTAATGTCATGTAATTCTCCAGAATTTGTGCTATTATTACTTATTATGCTATTACTATTACTACTATTACTATTACTTCTATTGATGTTATTGTTAATAATATTTGAAAATGAATTATTATATTTTGGTTTTCTTTGCTTATCTAATTTGCACAATTCTTCGTAAGTCTTTTCATCTGCTAATGTAACAGCTTTAACTAAAATATCCAATAAATTTTTACCATTTTGTACTTTCATAATTGCCAATACATATCGTTTTGTTTCAACAAATAAATGCTTAATTTCTGAGTCTTCTCCGTTGATCGTTTTCAACGATAATCTGCTTGTCAATGTTAATGCAATCTCTTTTGTGTTCGGATCAAATGAATCATCATCATCCGGCAATGGTGGTAAATCACCTAATTCATGTATAATTTGCCTTATCATATCATAGTGATCTGGTGCAATATCATCAATACGTTGAACTAATAAATTATGTATGGAAAATACTTCATTTGGCGAAATATAAATTATCGGTTTATTGGTGCGTGTTAAATCATTAAATTCATCGATACCAAAAAATGTTTCTGGATCCTCAATTTCTGTAACTATATATAGATATATATGTGCATGTAATTAACTATTTTAATAATTCGTATATAACACACATCAATAAAATTATTTAATCTTAATTTTCACATACCAGATTTAAAAAACTTAGAAAATCTATCTGCAGCGTAAGTCACATATTCATTTAATGGTTGTAAATACATGTTATCATCATCAAATAATCTTCCAACTGATATTTGGTTGAGCATTTTCGAAATCTAAAAATTTTTAAAATCAGATCCGATTAATTAAGTCATGTATGTATGTATATACACACATATACAAGTTTAAATATTAAATAAATTTTATACTTCTGCCAAATTTTTGCGTTGCATTGGACTAACAACAGTTTCTATAATATCGAATCCTTCAGGTGCTCTATAATAAAATATAGAAAAGAAATTAACTTAAAATCACATATATTTTATTGACACATACATAGTCTTTCTTAAAATTCTTACACAATTGCAGGGTTTAAATAGCGATAATAAATCAAATGGCCAATAACTTTCATTACAGCATCTTCTGTTTCATCCGAAAATTTATTCATTAAAGCTCTTTTCAATTCTCTGGAAATATATCTGATGCCATATGGCATTTTTTCAATAGAATTGGTGATTGTTGTTAAAAAGGTTTCCGTCTCTTTTCTTAATCTTTGTAAATGATGTATGAAAACCGTCCTTGTTTCTGGATCATTTAATGCTTCTTGAAATTCAATATTAGTAGGCCTCTTTGATGGTAATCCTGTTTTAAGTTCTTCCAAATTGATAAGATTTTTATAGAGGTTTAATGGATCTGTTTCAAGATCTATTTTATCATCATTCATTATTTGTTCCACCAATGGTCTCAACAAATCCCTTAGAAATTTGCGTTCTTTTGCTCCACGATTATAATGTACTACTAACTTCATAAACATAAAATTTCCTCTTAAAAATTCTTGCAACGAATCAATATTTTCTAATTCCTCCATCATACTTTTCTGGAAAAGTTTCAACAATAAAAACTCCTCTCTTGAATTTTGTGCGTATCCAAATAATGTTAAAACAACACCTTCGACCAGTTTTTTTGTTTTTTCAGGAAAACTAGTTTTGTTTAAAATAAAAAACAGTTTTGCCAGATAAGTTGGTTGAGTTTGTAATATATAAAATAATTGTTGATACAATGCAAGTTTACGTCTCGACTCTTTATCTAATGATTGTAAGGAGAACGGACCCGAAGGCAAATTAAGTCGTGATAAACGCTTATTACGTTTTTTCGGGTTAGCAATTGCAATAACCTCATCTATTGTAATACGGTTTTTTATTAATAAAGCAATTTTTATGTCCAATTGATTTAACAATTCTTCCGATTGATTGTTTTCTCTTATGCGTTGAATTACTGCTTGTCGAAGTTGTTCTAACTCTGTATTTAAATTTGAATTGTGAAAAATATGCATCTGACTATTGTTAGTATTTTCCTTAAATAAATAAACATATACATCATCAAAGCTAATATTATATCTCACCGATTTCCTCTTCAAAATCAAAATCACTATCATTCAAAAGATGAATAAAATTTTTAATCGTACCGATGGGAGGGTTATTGCCCATTGCTAAACAATAATAGTTACGATAAAATAAGATTACTGATTAAAATTTCAATGAAAGCCATATTTTAATCTCTTAAACACCTACTTAAACTTCTATAAGCATCGCCAGCATGTTTGGCGCGATATAAACTTTGTATTTTAATGATTTTGTCGATATTTTTTTCAAAATATTTCGATTTATCTTTAAATAAATTCCTAGACAATAAACCTCTGATTTGACTTTGCACCTAAATAATAAATAAATAAACATGATTATGGTGATATTTTATAATTGTTATTTATTACTATTATTAAGAAATCTTTACTGAAACATTATTTAAGGAAAACATAAAAATAACTCACCTTAACAACCCATGGCTCTAATTCACGCATCTCATTAATACGTTGATGTAATTCATTCCTAATCAATAAACCACGAATTTGTGATTGAAGTTTGATGGTGAATGGCAATGATTGCTGATGCAACATTCTACGATTTAATAATTGCTTGCGAGCTAAATGCGTTTGAATAATTGATTGGCATTTAATAATAGTTGATTTATTTTCTTCCCAAAATCTTGCGCTTTCTATTTAAAATAATAAATTATAAATTAAATTCCTGTAAAAAAACAAAAGCAAAATATTTTACAATCAAATGAAAACCTACTTTCTTCATCAGATTCATGTGGCTCAGTAGGTGGTTCAGGCTCATTTTCAATTATAGGCTCATTCAATTCTGCTGCCAGTGCAACTCCAACATTTGCAAAACTTGGCATTGCCACACCCAATGCGTCCAATCCTCTTTGTGTATGATGTAATTGTTCGTCTATAAAAGAAAAATTATTACTATTTATTAATTTTATTGTTGAGAAATTATCATTATCAATCAATAATTGTGAACAATTCATTACCAGTGAATTCTAATTTTCCCACTAAATTTTTAATACGAGGTGTTAATCCTCTTCTTGACATTAAATGACTAAATCAAATCAAATCAAACCAAATGTAGATTAAATTGTAAATAAACTAGTAGGAAAAAAAATTATGATAATTTTATTATTTATTTTACCTCAGAGCATGTATGCAATAAATTACTTTGGGGATATTTTTCTTTTCGTATAAATCAGTTAATTCAAACCAAAAAATCTAGAAGATAACATTTAAAATTTTAACGGTAAATATTAGATGGTGTGTGTGAATTTGTTATTTTTTGATTGACTTACCAAAGGTAATCTTATTTTTTTGATAGCGGCAAAGAAATAATTGATATTGTCTGAATGCCTGAACTGTAATTTTTGAGCCTAATAAACAATTATTTGTAAGTTAGTTCAAAATTGGTTACAGAATGCTACGCATAAATGCATACAAATATATTGATAAAAGTAAGTACCATAAATATTTTTCGAACAACTGATGGCTCAAAGGATTTTGCTAATTTAGCCAAAACTATTCCATTTCTTAAGCTTTCCTCCAATAACACAATTGGATCAATTTCTTCTGCAATACAAGCCTCGATCCACCTAATTAAATATAATTGATGTTAATTATGTAAAATAAATAATAAAAATGATATCTTTTTTCATTTTATCTCATTAACTTACTCTTTAGCCTCACCAATGTGACATAAGTATTCGTATGCTTGAAGATTTTTTCTTTGTTGATCCATCCAATTACGTGAACTACGTTTGCCCTCTGTTTTTTGTAATCTAATACGGCCTCTTAAACCTTATGTGTATGATTATGAAAATATATTATATGTCCAATCAATTGTTGTTGTCTTTTGTCATTTATAGTCTATTTATCTCACTTACCAGCAACGTCTTCTGCATTTTCCGTTATTGTGGGAATTTGTAGGTTGGATAAGTCTTTTTTGCTTGATAAAGTAGATAATCGTCTTAATTCTGCAACAGAAGACCTCGATGCATCATAAACTACTGGACTGCTACCACCATTAATAGTACTTGAAGGCTCTTGGACTAAGGATCTCGATAAAAAAGTTGAGTTTTTGGAATTATTGATACTCATTATAAAAAGATATCAGGGGAATTTTTATATAGTAATAAATAGATGTTTTAAAATTTTGATTATATTAAATTAATTAAAAAAATTTTTTTTTAATAAAGGCAATTAATATCCTGTTCATGTAATTTTATTATTAAATCTTTAGAAAGATAAATTTACAATTATTATAATTATACAAATTTTTTTTTTTTTTTAAAATTAAAATGGGCATGTTCTTTTTTTATGACGAAATGACGCGCACAAAGGCAATTCAGGGGTTCAGGGGCATACAAAAGGAATTTTTGATTCTATATACCAACCCTAATAATGTAAATGAATGTTTCCAACGTTTCCTTCTTTGCTAATAATAGAGTGACCAGATGCAAAATGATAAATATTTATTAATTTTATACTTTTATCGTTTAAAATATTTTTATAGTTTGAAAAACTACACTTTTAATATTTTCCCTAAAATTCTACCTCTAGATAATTTTGGATATTTTAAAATGATAGCTTGCTATTGTTTTTTTATTATTCTTTATTATCCTTTCTTTTTTTCATCTTGAAAAATAAGTAGGAAATGGTTACAATAATCACTACTCCAATTAATATCCAAGGAAACAAATTTGCTTGCTGTTTTTGTATCACTAAAAAAAAATTGTAAAATGTCAGGTTTACCATTTACTTACTCGCGAAAGTTAAAATGAGCATTTGTGATATGTCCATTAATCAAGTATTTTCAATCACATCTTTTTCGGTTCCTTTGACGAAATCAAAGAATCTCAAATCCCAAACTACATTGTACATCCCAAACATAGATCAATCCTGGGTACTTATTGGTTGGGAGACAGAACGCCATGGATGTACAATGTAGTTTGGGAATTCTTTGACAGGCTGTTCCAAATTCACCTTGTGCATTTGGGATTTGGGCAGCATGTATATACAATTCAATTACAATTCTGCAAAGTAGTTCACTGGATCCTTATTTGCCTTATTTATATTCACCTCAACGGTATTTGTTTTTCTTGAATATGATAATTTCACATGCAAGTTTCAACATCTATAAAATAATATTCATATAGCGGTGACTAAAACAAACCAACATTTCCAGGACAAAATGGGAAGATGAATAAACATGATCACGCATTTAATTAAAAAATAGATGGACTTTCATTTTCGCCTTCATATGCTCTAAGAAATAATAAACATAAAAAGATCAAAATTTAATTTGGGAGAATTGCGGATCAATCACCATCATAATAACTAAAATAAACGATCATTCCTTCCCCTTTTTTTGGAACGCGATAAAAACAATTATTCAGAAATGGAAAAAATTTGTACTATTTATAAATCAATACTATTGCGTCATATTTTGGTCATGTGTAACCAGTTCAATTAAAATATTGCACATTTTTGATATTAATAAATATCCTGGAATTTTTCATGACTTGTATAGAACGAAAAAAGGAATTAAAATTTTTTTTAGTAATTTAATAATACTGTTGCACTAAAGTTGAAAATTTAGCACAAAAATTAAATAATTAATATTATTTTTTTTATTTTTTCGATTATATAAAAGTTGTAAAGAAAAAAAATTAAAAAATTGAGATTTAATTGTAGTAAATACACTACTTCCAGAAGAGGGTTTGGATCCAAGTACTTGTGTAGGTGATGGTGTGGTGTTTTTTCTTCAACTGAAGAATTTAAAAATTCAATCCTGTTTGATGATGTTTTTAAGAGACATCAAAACCTCACACAATATGATCATCTTGTTGATTAAATCGTCCCGTGTTGCAATGGCTAGTAAGTGGTAGTTCAACTTTGCAGAATGGTTTTATAGTGCATCGATACTATTCAGAACTTTGATTTCCATCAATGTTTCATAAAAATGGATTGGGATGAAAGGAAAATCTTCTAAGATATATCTTAAATTCGATAAATTCACCTTTGTAAAAAACGTTATATATGCTTGAATGCATCTTTGAGAATTTATACAGGCGAAGTCGGTCATCTAATACATGTTGATCATGTTCTGTGCTAGATGCCCAGGGTCCATTGCTTATCTCTAAATCGGCACTCTCAATCTTCAGCATATGTAAAAAAACCAAGACATTTGTTTGGACCGTTATCAATTCCATTACGATTCTTAGTAGACTGCCTTCCCTAAATGAAGAAACAAACATGTATAGGGTTAATACTTGATAACAATAATAATGGTAATAATAATGGTAGTAATAATAAGCATTACCATCTACATCCTAAATTAATATCATAAAATATAAATTTAATAATAAGACTAATGAATCACGAGAAAAAGTTTTTTTCGTTAATACCATAAAGTCTCGAAAGATAACACTCCCAAAGATAGCACCCCCTACTTTAAAACAATTGAAAATCGTTTGCACAATTGTAAGCAGTTGTAAAAAGGGGTGCCATCTTTCGAGATTTTACGGTACTTTTTTTCGCGATTTTGATACGAATTAATTGTCCAGATTTTTTTAAATGTGCATACAAATTCCACCAGTGCAAGACGTGATCGTTTATCTCAATAATGAATATTTTATAGGTTGACATCATTATTAATTATAAGATTTTTGATTATAATTTTCTCTTAACCAACCAATTTAACACAATGTTCCTTGTTATATTGAAGATCCAGAAGCTTCTTTTTTTGAATAATATAGGTTGTTCAGTTTCCAAATACGATCCCTTCTGTTAAGAGGTTTCCTTCATCAATCTCGTCGATTTAATACTTCAAGCGAAATATCTAATGCTTTCTGTTTCAGGATACTTTTTGGTGTATAAAAAATTTAAAAATAGAAAATTTGAACAGAAATTGTAGCTTAATAAATAATCTTACATATGAAATCTTTTCATGAAAACGATCTATGTCGAATTCTTCGTCAACTGCATTGATATCTTCATATTCCTTATCATTGTTATTATCATCATCATCGGGAGTATTATCAAAACTATCTTCAGATGTTGATTCTTCTGTAACAAGATACAACAAATTATTTTAATAATTATTGTGATGCAAATAATCAAAAACTTAATTCGCAAAACATTATAATACTTTTTTTTATCTTTGATAGTAAATTTTTTAATAAAGCCATATACTCATTTATTACCATCTATATTGACCCATGCTGTTTTTATGAGCACTTTGTTTCTTAAAAAATGAAATAAATAATATGTTAGAATGCTAGATCCTTTTTTAAAATGATATGTTTAAATTAACAAAGCTAATGATCAGATTTAGAAGTATATAATTGATTATATTCTTATTTCCTTGGTCAAGTTCTCCTAATATCAACGAATCTTTTGTACCATAAAATACAGGCTACTGTTTTCACAAGTTTGTCAAATTGATACTAAATATTTCTTGAATTAGACCTAGAATCCATGTTTCATGGTATCCTACCGGGTTAAGATCTCAGGAGAAACTTACCATATTTTTTTTGAGTATCATCATCATTTTTAATAATCATGAATATAAAAAAGCATGATGCTTACGGTGGAAATTACCTCCTCGAGTTCTTGAAATTTTATTTTACCGAATTCAGTTAATTATCCATTGTCCTTTTCCGAATCTTTTATTATAATATTTACATAACGATTCTGTGTTTCCTTTTCTTCTAATAGTTTCAAAGAATAAGTTATAATCTCTTTTTCACAACTAGTAACGTAACGAGAATTTCTCTTTGTTGTGAAATTACAAACATTTTGCATATTAAAATGACAGAAAGAACATATATATATATAACATGATTTTTTGCTAAACCCACAAATAGTCACACTACATATGTGAACTTTTACCCATGATTTTTATATATATGACTTGAATAAAAATTTCCCAAATTTTACCCACTTAAGGACCTATCACTTCAATTGGAATTGTCAGGGAGCCTAACCAAACCATACCAAACAACAGCACTCACGTTTTGTCATCTTGAACTCCTTCAAAAATAAATTGGTTTCCAAAAAAACAAAAAAACAAACCCACGACGCCAAGTTGCTCCAAACGAATATCATTTGTGGTAAAACGGGGGGGGGGTTGTGCATTCATTGTATATAAATGATTTAAAACTTTTTTATGTTTTGCATATCAATCAATTTTAAATTAATAAAACGTCACAACAAGATTACGTCGTCATTAAAAAAAATCTTCATATGCCAATAATAAATTAAAAAATTTTTTTCAATTTTTTTTTTCAACATGTCTTTTTCTATTTCAAAAGAAAATAAATACAAGATTTCCAAGCAAAATTACGACAAGAGAAGAAGAGAAGAAAAAGAAATGGTTGACAATAACAATTATTATTATTTTTTGAAAAAAGAATGGTGGTTGTCGCCACTTGTCGTCATAATTAGGTTGGGACTTGGTATTTATTTATTTCTTGAGACACCATTTTTCACCATCATCATCGACCCAACACGTAAATATCATTAAATGGTCGTCAGGATTGGTTATTTTCTTTTAATAAACTCGAATTTTTTAAGATACAAATAAAGTTAACATTAGTCCAATTTCATAATGACAAAGTTGAAAATATAATAAACGATATAAAAACTTCTATTAATTGAGAATATGGATATAACATTGGTAATATCGAAACCAAATTAAACAACGAAAAGGGTAATATATTGAAACAATTATTATAGAACTTGTAAATGAATTAGAATTATGAAGAAGTAAGTGAATTAGTAATTTATTAATTTAATATTTAATTTTACATCACATTGACAGACATTACAAGCTATATGGCAATGAAGATTATAACGAAAATTATGGCTATGGTGATGAGAATTACAGTTATGATAATGAAGGTAAATTATTATTTTATTTCCAGTTTGCCAATTATAAATTATATCATTATAAAGCACACGTATATAAATTTGATATAATTTGGATCTTATAGAACCAATTGAGGTTGCCAATACCACTGAAACTGCCAATACCACTGAAACTGTTAATACCAATACAACAACTACTAAGAGGATTGTCCAAAGTGACATCATTTCGCTCTGATATAAGCTCATACCCTTAGTAGAATCTCACAAACTCATAGAGCAGGTGTATATTATCATTATACATTTATCATAAATATATAAATTAAACATATACTAATCAAATCAAATTAATATTCCCGATCGACGTGTAAAGAATAATCTTAAAAAAGATACTGTGTGAAATGTAATGATATGAAAGTACCAATTATACGACTGCGGAATTGCTTGAATTAGCAGGTCATGCAGCCCATCATAACGAGAAAAAAATGCATTAATTCACAATATTTATAGTTAGCAATAAAATGTGATAAAGAACTTGATACAAGTCACTCCCATTATAATGACATTCGTTATAATTACAATCTTGTTAATGACATTTTGGATATAAATTTACTCCCGTTGTAACGACATTCACTAGTAATAATAATAATAATAATAATGTATTTCCGTGTAATTTCCGTATTAGTAGATTAATGTGTTTCAATCAAGTTACATTTAACAAATAAAATGTTTTATAAGAAAAAAAATGCCCATTTTTTTTTGCGAGTTTATCAGTTACTTAATAATAAAAAGGTCTGTTTTTATTTGCTGCTTTATCAGTTACTTAATAATATTCCAGAACTATAAAATCTTATTATTATTCTCACATTCCGTTTAATTCCACATTTACAAGTTAATATAAATGACATCATGGAAAAAATCCGGATAAGAATCTTGTAATTACCCGGCAAGATCTGCTCCGCGTTTTGATCCCAATTAAAATATTTATAAACTAAAATATATATATCAATGCAAATAAAATATATTACCTCTGGTTAGTTATTAACACGTCTTTTTTAGGAGAACCGTGTTTTTTTCTGTCAAAAAATAAATAGTTTTTCCAAAAAAAAAAATCTTTGTATAACACCAAGTGCCAATAATAAATAATTAATGACGCGTTTGTCGATCAAATAACATTTCTTTATTGTTTTTAAAAAGTCTTTAAATAAGCATATTTTATTGGACAAACCATCTTTTTTGCTATAATATAAAAGTTTAAATTTGTTATTTGACATCTTTGAATGAAATATACAGTATGGTGGAATTTGTCTATCAATCCAACTTGCAAAAAGTAACATGAGCTTTGAATTAATTGTCATTGAGTCATTTCTTACTGGTAATAAACCTAAAATTTGTTTTCTTGGATGAGTTAATAATAAGCCAAAATATGATTCCACAAATCCTTGGAAAATAGCTTTTTATATGGTAAAATGTGATTACTCAATCATTTTCAGGAATAATAATGTCTTCTAGTGTATTTTTCAACCCTTTAAATCATTTTTATTACACTTTGAAAATTTGCATTTTCAAGTTGTACAATTCCCATTGAATAGCACAATTCCAAATAAGCATTTCGTTTAATATTGAATTAAGTTTTTCTGGTAAAGACTTGAACATTAGTTTTACACAATCATTTGAATTGTAAGATTTTAAGAATAATTGTGGATTGTTATTGTCAATCAATTGTTTAAAGTAATCATTAAGCATGCTAAATGATTAATGTCTTGACAAAGTTTGATAAAAATAGTTTAAATGCTAGTACATCCAATTCTTTTGATTTGTAATTAAGTAACCTTGTAAATCATCAAGTAATTCATTGAAATCTAATTCATCACATGCTTCAAGAAGTTCACCAATTTCATAAAAATCCAAGTCATTTATATCAATAATTCCATTATAAATATATTTTTAAAAGTAATAATAAAAGTAATTTTAATAGATTAGGTGTTTTATTCAGAAAAAAAAATTAAAAAATTATTTAACAAATTCATAATTAGGTTAAGCTATTAAGTTGATAATCTTATGTCAAAAGAATTTCAAATACTTTTGAAGATATGTTATCTTTCTCGAATAAAATAATACCATCTTCAGATCTTTTAACCTAACTAGTTGATAGAGCTGCTTTAAAGTATGAAGACCTTGCTTTTAAGATGTTATAATGAGCCTTAAAAGTTTTGACATTATTCTGGTCTACTCCAACTTTAATTTCTACATCATAAATGTCTGCTTCATTCAACAACTTTGTTAAATCATTAACAAGTTTACTAATATGTTTTTAAAGGTGAACTTTTTTACCAATCAGTCAGCGTTGTAATATTTTTTATGGATAAAAAACTAATTGAAACTTCAAATAAATTTCTTTATTTGAAAGAATTAAAACATGTTAAACATCAGTGTGTAACAAAATCTAAATTTTTGATAAAATGGAATAATATATTTGGATTTTTGATTTAAATTTTTTTTTGTCAAGAGATTTGTTTAATAAACACCTATTATTTAAATTAAGTTGGTAAAAACAAATTTCATTATATTTCATTATTTAATAACTTATTTTTAAAGAATAGTAAAGAATATTCAAAAAATTATTACCAGGTATAATTCTCCATCTAACAATTTCACAATATTTATCCCAATCTTTTTTATACTTTTTTCTGCATTTTTCTTCGTCTCTCAATTCTCTATGAATAAGTAATACACCAAAATACACCACATAAAAATATGGAAAAATATCATCATATCCTATTTAAATAAAAATATCAATTTGATTAGCATGTTTATTATTAGTGAGCAATCATAAAATTTTCATTATTTAGTATTATTACCACAAGTTAAGCACCAAGCCCAAGCCATTAACCAATCACCTAACATTATAATCATACAATCATATTATTATTTATCATATATATAGATATAACTTCAAATATAATAATATAAAATACTACTTACCTAAATAATTTATGTGTCTAGAGATTCCCCACCAACCAGAGATTATTAACTTAGATCCAGCTTCAGTTTCGATAAATTCTAAATCTATATATATATATATATATATATATATGTATGTATATATATGTATATTAAAATATTTAATCATATCACTGACCAACCTATTCAATATTTCAATTGATTAAATCACTTATATATATACGTACATTTAACGTATTCATCATCTGGATTTTTCCTAAACAAATCTTTTTCATTATTAGCACCTCGAAATATTGAGTAGCCAATAAGCTGAAGTGTCATAACAAGGACAATTTCAAATATTGACAAATCTTTTGGATGTAAAGAGATGTAACGAGATTGTAACGGGTACAAGAAAGACAACCAACTCAGATTTCCAAATGCCAACATCCAACCAAATCCATCAGTTGTAATATCCATTGTTGTAAGAACATTTGCCTCGTTGTACAATGAATCAACACAATACCATCCTTGAAAAATCAAAATAAACAACATCCCAAATGTCAGCGTTCCCAATTCATCATATTGTTTTAGTGCCATTGAAATATTTACCAACAGCCAACAAATCAATCCTGGTCTCAGCTCTACAAAACATTTTATATCAAAATCTTGGATTCTTGGATTCAGTTCTCTACCAATCATAAAATCATAAATTATATTTCCAGAGTTGCCACCTAATGATAATAATACTGAATCTTTATCATTTCTAAAACTGTTAATGTAAACAAACACTGATAGCATGAATGATACTATTATTGATGATGTCATAAACTGTATATATTTATCACTAATTATCAATAAAAATTCATATCCCCAAAAATAAGAGCTAATTAATAATAATGTAAAGGTGACAATTAAAGTTTTGAATCCATTCTCTTTATACTTTAAAACTTTGTTGTTTCTCAATCTAACGCCCTCAATCCAATTCCCCGGTAAAATGTACCACAATAACACTAAATAAACCAAATACAAATTATATATTATAAATATTTTAAAATCAAAAAAGTCTGATAATGAATAAAAATTTTCATGATCATTATTATCATCATTACTAAAAAATTCTAAATTGATTAATTTTGAAATGTATTTTGGTGAAGGACAACCATCCACTGTACAGCCTAAATGTAATATGTACATTAGAATAGGTAAAAATGTTATCATTAAAAATGCTCCAATTGGACCTAAAAATTCATATTCTTTTGTTCTAGGATTAAGTAAATTTGCTGGCTCATTAACTTTTTTTATTTTTGCCATTTTTATGAAAGAAAAAAATTATTTTTGATATTATTGTGATACAACCAAAATTGGTGTAATCAAAAAATATCAATTTCAGTATTAGTATATATGTAATTTTGGATCAGGGTAAAGAATACAGTATTAATATTAAGAAAATTTTCTGGCAAAATTGAAGACCCTGTTTTTTACCCTGACAAACAAAGGATTTCGGTGTTCCACGAATTTAATCGCGTTGTATATAAAAAAAACTATATATAATAAACTGCAGCTGCAGAGCCAACATTGGTTTTAATTCGATTTCTGACAGTGATGGTTTTGTTGGTTTGTTTAACAGATTATTGTTGTACACATCAACTTTTCGTGCTTAAATGGCTTTGTACAGTTTTTATCTTGCGTGACCTATGCGATTATATGATTGTGATGTTTTATTAATTAATTGTTGGCTGGCTATCTTTCTTTCTTACGATCTTAAATGATCCATGTGATCATGATGTTTTATTAATTGTTAGTTATCTTTCTTAACTATTTATCAATCAACAATCAATTAGATTAGATAAAAAAAATTGTGTATAATAATAATGTGTACTATTTATTTTCACTGGTTTCGTTTGCAATTTTTGAATACGAAGTTTTATGGGCTAACGAGAAAAAGATTCCAGATCAGTAATATACAGACTGTAGGGCGGTTCACTGTGGAAGATGGCTTGTAAATATGTATGTATTAATAGTAGTAATAACAACCAAAATTGCTTGTGGTTTGTTTAATTTTTTTATAATGTTAAATTTTTAGCAAACAACAATATAATCGACCAAGGTTTTTTTTATTGGGTGATAATGACGGTGATGATGAAGATGACAAAGACAATAACAACAGTAATGACAACGATGATGATAATAATGACGACGACGACAATAGTAGAAGTAACTGCATTAACAATGATAGTAATAGTAGTGGTGGTCATGTTAATGATAATAATGGTAGTGGTTGCTAGTGACCATGACCAACTACCACAAACCTTTTCTATATTCGTATGTACTGGCACGTACATTAACAACACCCACAAAAAGGATAATAAATTGGGATATGAGAGCATCGGTTTGATGAAAAGGACCTGCAATGGAGTTGCTAAAACAAAAAATCTCGAAACAAATATATTGATTGGAATCGTATCCTATCAATTCTAGGCAAAAGAATTTATTTTACGATTAAACTAGCATATAAACTACATTAGATATATGAAACTAATTGTATAAATGATTTATTCATTAGTTTCCAATACATCAAGGATAATCTTAAATGAACTGTAATTTCAACGGCTGGTATATTTTTTTTTACAGGTGGAGGCCCTGGAGTTAAAATTTACTTATCCGGTTATAGAGCCATCGTCGTCGTTATCGCCACCATCATCATTAAAAAAGGAAAAAAGTTGACAAGAATCGAGCAACATTGAAAAAAATATGAGGACACGCTTGTTCAATCAAACAGTTTTTCCAAAAATAAAAGGTCCTTTAAGTCACCAGGAAATAAGAGAAAGGCCATCAAGAAAAGAATGCAGTTTGAAAAGGTTGTTGAGGTTACTTTTCCAACATTCAACAATATAGTCAAGGTAATAGCCTAAAAGGAAACAAGCAATTTGAAATTGATAGTAATAGGAAAAGGGCTTTCAGAAAACTATTCCCGCCCCAAATTCCTTCTCGTTGACTGTTAATAAAACACAGGGTTTGGCCATCTGTTTTGATGAGAACATATTTTCTGAAGGCCAAGCATATATAGAACAAATTCCTTGGAAACTTACACATCCTGAAATCTGATTTTCTCGGATAAAATGTTCAAAAGTGTTTTGATCGAGTATGAGAGATTGGAGAAAGTTAATCATGATGGATTGATGTAAAATGTTTATTACTGTAATAAATGTAATTCAAACATATATTTTTTTAATAAAAAAAGGTAGGCCCGTGACCTTTTTTGGGGATAGCGCGTCGCTCCTTGCTTACTGCAACATCTTGTTTTTCTTTAAATGTTTTAATAATTCTTCTTGAAGTTGTTTGTATTATTGTGTCCCAGGTGATTGATTGCTTTGCTTTTGAAATTAATTCATCATTTAAAGTCCGAAATCAAAGGGATCTGAAATATAAAGTTTTAACTGAATTTAAAATCAAGTATTTTAGATGAAACAAGGAACGGACTCTCAATATGAAGATTCACTATATCAATATTTTAAATTTTGCATTTGGATTTACTTTTTGTTTTTAGTGCACTTATTTATACTATATTTTTACTACAGAGAAATCAAAGAAATCCCAAGAAGCATATTACTATTACTATTCGAATATTCACATTTGTATTAGTATTAGTATTAGGTATTAAAATAATTATTATATTCACGATGTATATACATGTGGGTAAAGTTTTTATAACACGAGGAAATTATTTATGTATAATAAAAATAAATTCTTAATAAATAAAACTAACAATCTTTTGCAAAAAAAAAAAAATTATTATTATTATATTAATATCCGTAATACTCGTAATACTTAATATTAATTAAGATGTCTTCAGTAATAATAAATGATGGCATTATTTTAATTTGTGAAGAAACAATTTCTAATTTTTCGTCAGATCCCATCATCAATGATAGCTTATGTAGACCACCAAATAAAAAAAAATATAAACTTTTGACGAAACATAAAGTCCTATACATCTGTTCCTGCAGAACAGTTATTTAGTGATGCTGGAAACCATATTACACCAAAGCGTAAAAAATTAAAACCTGATAGAGTAGAAAAGTTGTTTGAATAGGATTAGCAAGTATAATATTTGGTTTTTAAAATTTGATACTGGGTCACAAAAAAAAAATACCACAAAAAGAAATGTTGTCAAATAGAAAATAATTTGCTTATTTTTTTTAAAAATTAAATATTAAAAAGTTAAAATGTCCTTTAATAACTTATATAATTTATTAACACAAAACAGGAAAGAATTAGTAGCTAAAATTTGTAATGAAATAGCTATTATTGCTTATTCTGCTTTTCCAACTGTTCCTGACAATGAAAATAGAAAAAGTTATTTTTTACAATTAGTCAAAGAAAACAAAGAACTATTAGAAAATGAAAAGGAATTTTGTAGAGAAAGGTTTATTTATAATTTTGAATTAAGCAATGCAACTTATAAATATGGTGAACCAAGAGAATGTAATAAGTGTAAAACAACAAGATACTCTGATAAATATTGTGAAAAGTGTATTAGTCTACACTTACAGAGCCTTTTCAGCACTTGGACATCTGGAAATGAGATAATTGATGGATTTGTTCAAAAATGTCAACAGCTTTCATCTCTTCCAGGTGGAATTATAGAATGGATACCTTATGAGCAGTTTTATGATGTAGAAAAGTTAACAGAAGGTGGATTCAGTTCTATTTATACTGCTAAGTGGACAAGAGGATGTATTAATGATTATGACGAAAATAAAAAGGAGTTTAATTATTTTGGAGCTCAGTTTGTTGTATTAAAATCATTAAATAATTCAAATAATCCAGGAAACCCTTTTTTTGATGAGGTAATTGATCTTATTTAAAATAAACCATTTATTCTGAATTAAATCACTTTATTTATATAATTAATTTCAGGCATTGAATTATTGTAAAATTAAATCGAACATAATTGTTGAATGTTATGGTATAACTAAATTCCCAGAAATGGAAATTATGGAATAGTTCTTAATTATCTGCAAAATGGAAATTTAAGAGATTATATACAAAAAAATCATTATAATTTAACATTAAAAGATAGAATTAATATTTTTAATAATTTATGTGATGCATTATATTTTATACATGAAAAGGATTTAATTCATTGTGATTTACATAGTGGTAATTTCTTATTGCAAGGAGGTGGTTGTTATATCACAGATTTAGGGTTATGTGGACCAGTTGATGAAAAATCATCAAATAGAATTTATGGAATTGTACCTTATATTGCACCAGAACTATTTAGAGGAAAAAAACACACAAAAGAAACAGATGTTTATAGTGTTGGGATGTTAATGTGGGAAATATTTGCAGGACATCCACCATTTGATGATGTAGCTCATAATTGTGAATTAGTGATTAATATATGTGAAGGTTTACGACCACCAATATTACCAGGAATGCCTGATGATTGTGTACAAATGATGCAGAAGTGTTGGGATGGAGATCCATTAAAAAGACCAACTATCAGAGAGGTTTTGGTATTTGCTCGTAATAAATTTAAAATTGAGAATCTTAATGAAAATAGTAATAATATTGGTGGTGGTGGTGATGGTAATAATAATAATAATAATAATAATAATAGTAATAATAGTAATTCACAACAAATTCACAAATCACATCCATTAGCATATCATTCAAGTAGAATATTAAATTTAAACGATGAAATTGCTAAATTGAATTTAAGTAATGATAGCTTATTAAATTATGAAATATAATTTAATAGGACAAATTAAATAGTTGATTTAATTACAATGATAATTGTAATAATAATAATAATAATAATAACGATAAGTAGTTGATAAGGTTAAAGTTGAATAATTGTTGGGTAGATAGATAATCACCATTTATTAATTATTTTCATTATTTTTCATATGGGAAATTAGATTTTGTTTGCTATGCGTATAAATGCATCCTATGTGCGAAATTTTTAATATGCACCTAGTTGCAAAAAAAAAATCTTTTTTTTAATAAATTTGCCCTTAAAAACTTTGTTAGTAATCATGAATGAAATTGGCCTTTCAAGTAATTCTGAAAGCAAAAGCGAATTTATACCAATCACCACGTCTTTAGTGAACATTCCTGAAGATAGTAATGTTACTGAGAAGGAGGAAGAGAATGAGAACGAGAAGCTAGATGTTGAAGCTAATATAAATTAGACTTTAATATGCATTTCCAATTTGGAAGTTAGTATTAAGGACATTGAACAATCGGCACAACAACTAGGATTTAAGTTTAGAAGGGATAGATCAGAAAACTTTTGAAAATGA